TTTTCATCAATATTAAAGTTTTTTTTTTTTTTTTTTTACACTACATAAGCTCCTATATTTCACCAAAAAGTTACTTATTATTTTTTTTGTCCTATTTAAAATGCACGAACACATTCGCGCTGGAAACCAGACCAAAAAATGCTTGTAGGTCTCGCTTTTCTTTCTGTCGGTGCTTCTGTGTTAAATATCGTCCCTTTTGTTGGTCGCTGTCGTCGCTGCTGTCGGCCTTTTCCTTTCCAAGCACAGATCACCTTTCTCACTGCTCCTTCAGAGGACAATGTTCCAATACTTTGCCGGAACACAGAAATTAGCGATTTTATTTCAGCTGGGACGACAAAAAAGAAAGAAAATGTTATTTCTGGCCAGGAGGCTTCATACTGCAAAAGAACTCTCTGTTCCCTCCCACTGAAGCATTTCTACTAGATCTCTAACTTTTGGCCGGAGGACGTCGAGGACAAGCTGCAGGAACAGGAGGACGTCTTTTTGTTCCTGCGACTGTTCCTGCTTTCACTGGTCCAGATCCACCACGTTGGCTGTTGCTGACCATTAACGCTGAAAAGTTTCTTCTTATTTTTTCTCACCTGATGAAGCAGTTCTAGCTTTAGTGTGTCTTTATTGGAAACCTTTTGAAAGGCGTCTCGCATTTATTTTTTCTATGATAGAGATGCAAGTTCAGCTATATGCTTTAGACATTCACAAGCTTCAAACTTTAGCACTGGGTCTTTCCTGGATGTGGTGACGACCTGTGTTTCCACTGACCGTTTCGTTACGCAGGTTGACATTTTGACAATAAATTTGCTCAATGGAAACGTGGCAATTTAGAAGAAAGTAATTTGTTTTATTTCGGCGCTGGCATGAGGTGCTGGTTTATTTAGCTAAACTTCAACAGCATCACATGACCAACAACCAGATGTTGCCACTGGCGGAAACCACAAAGAAGACAAGGACAGGAAGTAGTTGGATGATCTGCGTGAACAGCTGTGATTTTAACGGCTTTTCTCATTTAACGGAAACACCAATTGTGTTTTTGCCACATCATGTTGACGTTTTACGCACATTTGTAATGGAGTCGCAACAAGACTTTTTTTTTTCTCCCGTGTATTACAACCGATTCACAACAGTAATCTACGATGCAGTAGGAACACCCAACAGCTTTGAGTTTATTTTTGCCTTCTCGTCGTGCTCTTTTTCAGCTTTCGTGTCGAGCCTTTTGATGAAAAGTGGGTGTGGATGTTTTCGAGAAGGCAACAATTTTCCTCTCCCTGACTTTCTTTTTGTTTCGTGCTTTCCATGCACCAAACGGTGATTACTTCATTACGGCGCGAGCTGAAAGCGGCAATTATTCATCACTCAGGGGTGACCTTCTTACAGTATGTTCAGCTCTTTTTTTTTTCTGTCCCATTTGTACCGCTTGTCAGTAAAGCTATGAAATTCGAAGTAATTAAACACAAATGAGTTTAATTGCTTTCATTGTGGTTTTTCTGGGGAATTGCTTCCTTTTGCAAATGCAAATCCCAGTAAATGACACCATGAAAGAAAGCCCTCTCTAATTGTAAACATAATGGTATGTTTCTTTTTCTTTCTTTTTTTAAAGGAGAGGGCGATATGAACGAGCTATAAAATCGCATTAGCATCAAGCAGAGGCAACATTAATCTGCCTTCGCTGTCGCATCCAGATCAGAACGGCGGCGGTTTTAATAAAGCTCAGATGATGCCCAGGAAACCGGCAGCAACTCGACTCGTCGCGCCGCACGCGAAAGGTTGGCCACCCTGAGGGCACGTTTGGCTAAACCTCCTCTTCAGAAATGAAAGGATCGCAGGGTAAATTATATATCACAGCGCTGCTTTGAGAGGATTATTACAGTTTGAAAGATTAAGAAGATGCTGGGTGTGGAGCCTGGCTAATTGCTGTACTAATGCTGATTCAAGGGCCTCTCGCTGAGGGTGTTGGCTTTTCCTCAAAATTAGCACGAGGGGTTTGCTGTGACGGTGGAAAAAAAGGGCGTCTTGATTAGTCGGCTTTAGTTCACGGCCATAAAAGCCGTTAACGCGCGTTTCTTTTCATTTAACTAATGTTGATGATGATTCAACCACCCCCCAAAAAAACAACAACAAAAAAAGATGATGACGTCAGTTTGTTTTAAGGTTTCAAAGCTGTATTTTATTAGAATTAATTAATAAAACGTCTGCTGGAACCTAATGAATGAGTGAAATTGATTAGGTTCACCAAATGGAGATCAATGAAACCATACAAAGGCTCAAATATAAGTAGGGGGGAATGTGATACGATTTGATTTATTAAAGGAGTAAAAAGGTGGGAAACATCAAGTCCTGGTGGCGTTTAGGTCTCTCAGCTCAAGTGTGACCTCAAACTTGAGCTTCAACTTCTGAAAAAAAAAAAAAAATCTAACAAATCGCAAACATTAAGCAAGCTGAAAACTTTTTCACTGGCACAGACAAAGCATCTGCATAGCATGGCATGAGATTAAGTAACATCATCCTGTTATTTGTGAAGCGTTCGTGACGACATCTGTCTGTGCTTCCGATTTTTTTTTTTCATGCAAGGCAAAAGACAAAACTGCAAAATAACTTTACAAGTGTGTCTCTGAAGTACAGGCACACAGTAGCAAGTGGAAGGAAGGTCATGATTTACCTGTAAAAACATTCAGGAACTCGACGGAACATTAGCAGAAAGCGTCCGCTTTCGTGTCCGACGCTCGGCATATGAAAGTGCGTCACAGCAAGTTCAACCACGTATAGGAAGCTGTGTTGGTGGTTCACACAGAGAGGGAGAGATGGCAGCCAGGCGGTGGCTTCTGACCGAGAAGATGGACCGTTATAAGCTCATTGATCCAAATCTCTCAGAGGGAACTCACTCTGATCAATACAGAGAAAAGAGGGAAGTGGCACTCTGCTGCTTTTAAACTGCGGCTGCATCTAATGTTTGACTTCGTTTTCTCACTTTCTCCTCTTTCCTACCACCAACCAAACACGGCCTCTTTCTCCCACACCTCTACATATTCCTGCTTTTCTTCGGTATCCATTAAGACGACTCGCAGTGAGGAAACGTCGGTTTTCCACATTTGTCTTCTACAGTTACTGGTGTCATACCTCAACACCGTCAATTCGGCCGGAGCACATTTTTCTTGCTCTCACCTCTCACACCTGACACAACAATACGAGTCAGCGGACCGGGAGTTGGTTCTTGTTTTTGTTTGCGGTCGAAACTGAAAAAATATGAAACGATAATAAAACACTGTTGGTGTGTCGCTCACCTTTTCACCGGAAGAGCTGGTTTAATACCAGGAATAGTCTAAAAACAGGTCAACGGAACGTCATATGGGAAGACGACGCCGGCAAAGGTGTTTTTTCTTTCTTTAACACTTTGTGTGACTTTGAATAAGTGTGAATCTTTATGTAGGCAACGCAAACGGACATGTCGATGCAAGCGTGTGAAGGTGAGCGTTGGACAGAGTGTGAATGAGTGTGTCCTGGGGACGCCAGAGCACCGTCATCTCCCATCAGCGCGCCCCTTCTCAAGTAAATACACCAAATTGAGGACAGCCAACTGCTCTGTGTGTTTGTGGCGAGGGTGTTTTTTTTGTTTTGCTGCCGTTTTGACTCACCTAGTGTCTCAGGTGGTATGTGAGAATGAGATAGAAGCTCACGGCGAGCTGCCAACAAGCAGATGGAGAATAAATCAATAAGGAAGTAGCAGAGCAAGAAAATGAGGATGGGGCAGGGGGGTGGGATGACGGGAGGAGGGAAAACAATTTGGTTACTACTGCAGGAGAAAATCCCTCTTGTCTTTAAGTAAAGCTACACTTTGTCGACTGTCAATCTTGCACCCAGATTACAGATCTCTTGATACATGTTTAAAAGAGCTGGGGAGAAGGGCAAGCAGGAAATACATCTTAAGCCTTTCATGGATGAACGGAACATAAAGGGCAACTGTGGCTTCTTCCATTTTTCTTCGGCCAAGAATGCCAATGCTCCAGTGCACGGATTTCTGATTCGGTTTAAAAATGGCCATGTGCCGCGTTTCCCTTCCAGTTCCGATGGAGACGAGGACGACCGCTTGGAGGAGAACATGAACTGGCCCACTACCGAGGAAGCAGCCAAGAGCTGCTAGCAAGGCGGAGCTTCACGCCAACCTTCAGGAAACTTTGAGGTAAAGTCGTACGTTTCCATCCGTCACGCGGGTTTTGGGCAAAAGAGGAAACTGTGAACTTTTCATCTCCTGGTTTGCAGTGCATATGAACTGTAGTTTCTGTCTCCTTTCCTAATCTTTCTAGCCTTCCTACCATCTTTCGAGATGGAGTCATTTGGATCCTGTCAGTTTTGTGCGCGGTGCGGCGGGGTTGCACTGACCCTGCGTGCGCTCTCATGACCTTTTATTTTGGTGGTTGGGAAAAGAAGAATGAAAGAATTTGATTCGAATCCCGCATGAGCTGCTTCATTCGGGATTGGAATCAAATGAAATCAATTTCTGAGTTCACCTCATTTGTAATTTGTGGTATTTTAAGAGTGAGGAATTTTAAATTGTTGCTATTTTAAGCTATTTCCCCAGACTGTAGCTAGTGTTACCTCTTGTTAGCATTCAGAAACAAAAACTAGCAGACAAGTTACTTTATTTTATTAAATGCTGTAACATTTTAGTACAGCTGATGTAATCCCAGCCTGTCACTCAGTAAAATAGTAACAGTAAAAAGTTTAAATTACTGAATTTACCGACCATTTCTCAGACTGAGAGTAGCTTTAAATGTGACCACAGAGCTCAGTCGGATGTTGTTTAATGAAACATCTCGTTCATGCCAGTGCGCCCTATTAAAGCGCTCTCAGCCACAGAGAAGGACAAATAGAGAAAGATGGAGGACGCAGAGGAAAATCAGAGTCGGGTTGACCTTTGCATGCAAACGTTGGCGAGTGCGTCTCAAAAAGAAAAGAAAAATTGAGGGAATGAAGCATCAGTCCAATAAAAATCAAGCTCAGACTGCAGACCCATTTCATAAGCACTTTATTCGGGATTTGAATCAAATGAAATCAGTTTCCACTTTCACCTCATTTGCAGATTGGAGTGTTTTATTTTTGTGGTTTTTTATAGATGGAGTGAGGACTTTTAAAATGTCGCTGTTTCGAGCCACTTCCTCAGACTGCTGCTGATGTTAGCTTAGCACACAGAAACAAAAAGCAGCAGAGAAGCTACTTTACTGAATGGCCAACATTTAGCAAATGTCTTCATAGAACAAAATGGCAGGAATGTGAACGTGCACAAAGAAGGGAAAAGTAAATTGGAATCTATGTTAGGAAGCCAAGTTACATTAGTCTGACTTATGGGGTCAGTTTGGGGCCAAATAACAGAAACATTGGGAGATAGAAGAGTGAATACCAATGTTTGTTTTCTTCAACCTCTTTACTATTTGATTTTGGTGCATGATTGAAGGAGAAATGTTGAGCAAACGCCCAATTAATGGTCCCTCAGTTTGTTTGCTAAGCTAATAGAGCAGTTTTCTTCTTTCAGTCTTTTCAGCTCGATGGTTTCACATTTCTGCCAAACAATAATAGATGTGATTAGTGACGTCAGACTGCTGTCATCTTGAACACAAAGTCTTAGGTACACATATCGGAACAGAACATAACAGTTTATATAAACATTTTTTTATATAAAAAATGTTTTCCCAAATATGGAAAAATGCCAGAACCCGTATACAAAAATATATTTTCAGGAGACGTGATTGCTGCTGGTTCACTTCACAACAAACCTTTTATGTTATGCTGCACAAAACGTATATCTGGGAGCATAAAACCTACGCATATTCAAAAAGGAGAATGCAGCTGCACACAGTCTTGAAAGCAAAGAATCCCCTATTTGACATTTCACAGAACTGAAATATGAGATTTCTTGTTTTGTTTAATAACAGAATGGGTCCATTTATTCAAGCTCGTCTTTTCTGTCCAATTTATGCTGTAATGGAACATCATCCGGCGAGCTGAAGGTCATCGACTGACATCCTGAATCAATAGAAAGAGGTCCAGAGAATTCAAAGGAAACCGATTTGAGAAGAAAAGTGTAAATAAGAAAATATAATATTTCTATATAAATATCAGAAAGTAAAAGCTGTGCGTTCGCCTGCGTCTCCTGGTGCTGGACGGCTAATTGGCTTCAGCGAGAAAGCATGGCTGCTGTGGGTTTAATTGGGAAAGCGTGAACTCATGACATCTGCACTTTTCCACTCGTCAATCGCAGCACAACCCTGCAGGGATGCGGGAAAAACACCCTTGGCCTTTTCAAACACTCGTGCGTAGACCGACATGAAGTTTCATCGCTGGAACGGCGGGCCAAAGTAACAGCGTTTATTTTCTGCTGACTCTGCTGCCGCCGGTTCAAGACCAGCTTGACCTGCGACTGTGGAAGAGCTGAGAGAGGCTAATTTGGGAGCAGAGGGGTAGATTGCCTGTAATGACATTAACAACGCAGGCAACCGCCTGCTCCCAGGTGATGATTAAACGGCGAGCGGTTCTCTGAGCCGGAGAGGAGCGCAGCACGGCTCGGAGCCACAGGTGCGGCACAGCAGCGCCAAGACACTCCAAGTCATTCAGGAAGCACTTTTCCTTATCGCCCCGGCAGCCACCAGGGTCCTGTTAGGGTTTAAGTCACGGGATTCAATTCTTTTTATTAGTGCCTGTGGCTCATATCAGCTTTCACATGAACAGCATTCGTTTTTTTCCTCCCTCAATGAGAAAGATATGACTGCTTGAATGAGTGTTTTTGAATCCACAGACATCTTCATTCTCTGCACAAAGCTGTTCCACCCTGACTGTGTCTCCACGTTGTTGCAGGAGGATTTTCATTTTATTTTTTATATTCGACTAGGAGTCCAGCTCCGTTTCATCCTGCTGGAAAAACTCCAGGTCTGTTTGGGTTGCTCTGAACTTTAACTTTGTTCTTGTGTTTTCTTCTTTTTGTTTTGTACGTGAAAGCAGAACTAATAGGGTGCAGGCAACCATATTTCACCCGGCTCACTCCAAAAAGTAAGCTTTCTGAGGTGCCCCACTATCCGGCTGTCCAATGTGATCCGTTTGAATTCAACGCGTTTCGTCATTTTCTACGCAATCCTGCCCAAAGCCATTAAAGCAAACACTGTAATCATCACCGAAAGGCAGCTTGTGCAAATGAAATGTAGATATTGTACGTGCTTCTCCAGGAAATCAACACTTTCAAGTCTCTCCCCCCACCCCCTTATTCCGTTTCAGTCTTTGTCTTCAGGACAAAACGCTGGTCAAATGTCGTCACATGGCCACCTCTGCATCCTGCTGCTCCTCGATTCCCCGAGCAAACAGCCTGATCAGCTGGCACTGGACACTGTGGACAAAAGGTACAACACACACACGCACGCACGCACGCACACACACACTGCATCATTTAGACTGAACAACAAACCATAATCTTAATGGCTGCGCTTTCACTGCAACATTACTGTCGGAGCAGCAGATGTGAAAGCAGTGCAGATTAATGCTCAGATTTAAAAAGTGGAAGTCATTGTGGTGTGATGAGCACAGATGCTATTAATGTCATAATAAACTTCGATAAAACGTCAACTTGTAGGCATTTTGTACATTTCTTTATCATACACTGAACAATCTTCAATGTATGAAGATTTTATTTCTTCTTTTTGGTGGCGGCGCACACACACACCAAAAAAAATAAAAGCATTAGACTCTAGCTAGCCTGCCAGCTACACCAGCTAGAGTCTAACCGCCTTCCCCAACAACAACAACAACAAAACAGGGCATTCTGGGTAGATATTTAGGTTGTATTTACCCAGAATGCCTCATGCTATAGTCTAATTCCTGCTTGAAATGTTTGGTCTCATCAACACTTGTGCCACCGTCTCATAACTGTGATTATACGCCAGCAGTTCAATATCCAGGCAGATGAGACAATATTTCACAGTATTATCATATTTCCAGAATATCATAAGCAAGAGAGCAGCTTGCTGGTATTTTAAGACTTGATTTAAAGTTTGGCTCATCATTGTTGCACTTTACTTTTCACTCCACCCCCCCACCCCACACACAGGTGAAGCTCTTCCTTCTTCCCTCTACTTCCCCCGTTTCGCCTGGGTTATCACCATTAATTATCCGAAATACACTCCGCTTGGCTCACTCCGGCAGCGATTAGCGACGTGGAAGGGGCAATAAATGGACGGACTTCGGCTTTAATTAAAGGGGAGTAGTCTTTTAACACGGGGAGGGCCGTTAAATTAGCAACATTACAGCGCCGTGCATCATTGGACAAGTACAATGGAGCATGAAATAAATGATGCATCAAGTGGACCCACTCCAGCTGTGAGGAGATCTGATGGTTGGGGGTTATGTGGGAGAGAGAGGGGGTGGGGGGGCTGAAGTGAAGACAGGAGCAGAATAATGAGGGGGGCTGATTCCATGTTGTTGCCAATGACTGCGCATGAGGGAACGGGGGAGAGGCTGTGGCGACATGATACTGCTAAGAACAGACAGTAAGGACGTTTCATTTTATATTTGTTCACCCACAAACAAAAACGAAACCCTGGATTATGATCGGAGGTCACCGAAAGCAAATATATTGAATTATTTTGATTCTTTTCTTTGTTTAGGAAAGAATCACCATTTAACAAAAAAAAAAAAAAAAAAAGACTATCTATTGCTTGTTATCTAACATACGCTTGATGCTGCTCTGCAGGAGCTGGACCCTTTGCAGAGGCAATCATTTGAAGAAGTGAGTCGAAAGTAAACCCAAAGCAACGTGTGCTTTGGGTTTCCTCTGGTCACCCCGGCTGGTTTGTCGGATTGATGTCCAGGAGATGAAAGAAGCTGCTTTCACGTGTTTGAGAAGTTAAAGAAACAGCAGAATAGCAGCTTAGAAGGGAAAAGAAAAAAAAAATCACTATTTGGTTGTAAACACGCGGAAATGAAATGCACTTTGTACACGCATTGAATTTTATGTCGACTCTGTTTCGTATAGTGTGAGCGCACCGGGATCAAGGGTGGGCACTAGTGCCACTTTTGCTGTTATATGTTGTTTTTTTTAGTTTTTTTTAGTTTTGCCGTGTTTTCTTTCCAATAAACTCTGAGGATGTGATGAAACGAAACAGAAATCCAGGCTTCATCACAATTAATCCTCATAGAGAGCCGAGATGTCAGCGGGAACACAACTCCCGAGCAGTTACCCCCGTGCTGTGGGTATTTCCAAGTCACTCACTTGGGATCACAGAAAGTGCTAACCACATCTCCTGGCAACACTCTCAGCAGCTCTTCTGCAACACTCTCAGCAGCTCTTCTGATATTTCACTAAAACTTGAAAGTGGAAAATGAAACTTGGAACTGCGACTTTTTGTTTCAGAGCTCCATGAATGCAGAGCTGTCAGGCACAGAGCGTAATCTGTTTCTACTTAGGCTTTGAAACGTTAAACATTTTTGGGCAATTTAAGCAAAATTTACAACTTAATGCCAAGAAGGAAGGTGTGAATAAGAATGAGGTGATGCAATAAGTATAAGCTCTGGAAGTATTTCAATATTTCTTCCATTATGCCGCTTCTGCAATGTAATGCGAGTTTTATTCGAAGCCATTTGTAGGTTCTTTTCTATGCTGGGAGGGATTTGGAGCACAAGAAGTTCCCTTCTGTGAGAAAATGAGAAATGTTTAAATATGCGTATCAACTGGTGTATTTTATCTTGGAGTAAAAAAGTCAAAAATAAAAAACCTTCATCGGTAAGAGGGATCTTATTTCAGCACGTTTTCTTAGTCGCCTGATGTAAAAATGTGAAAATAGCACACGATGCGATACAAAATCACTATCACTCTCATGTCTCACCTGACTTGAATGGCGGTGTGATGCAGGATTTCCCCGTCGCAGTTCCAGCTGCTCTCGGCGGTGCAGTCGTCGTCGGTTTCTTGGAGAGAGGAGGTGGGACTGAGGTCCGGACTCTCTGGATGTTCGCTGGCGTCTTCCAGAGGACCGAAGTTGTGGTGCCATGGCTGGAAGCGAAACTTTCTCACCCTGTGGACCTCCACGAACCAGTGGTCGAACTAGGAAACAAAAAGGTGAAGATGGATGAGAAGGTTTCGAACAGGTAAGTTTAATCTTGGTAATCTTGATACAGTGGTCATCCTCAAGGCCGAAGGCTTGAGGTGGACTAAACCTCAGCGATCGTTCTGAATGCAAACACATTCTGAGTAGCAGCAAGAACCAAAGCTGTAATTTTGTTTCACGTTCTTCCAAACATGGATGCACTGAAAGATGTTTCTCTGAAATATTGTGTCTTACTGTCTGCAGTGAATTGAACTGAGGAGACCTTGTGCAAGCATAGATGGATCTTCGATAGACTCCCATCGAAGGAAAAGATTGTTTTGTCATCTGTTAAACTTCATACCACAAAGGAAGTGATGGTCTTTGTCATTTCCCACTTGGTTTGTTCATTCTGTGTTTTATTGTCCCTCAGTGCTCCATCAGTTGTCCTGCATAACCCGATTAGACTGTCCTGGTTTCCATGGCACTTATCCCATCACCTCCATCACCATTGAGTTCATTGTATTCCAGTTCCAAACATGTGAGTCTTTCTTATTTTATTATCCTGCTAACCATCACACAACTGATGTCTTGCTTGTTTTTAGGGATTTTTGGTCGATATTTTTGGTACTGAAACTCATTTGACTGATAACTGATAACTGATAACCGATACCGATTTCTTTCGTTTCCCCTGTACCTACTTACTGAAACTACATGGCTTTCTCTACTGCATTATCTTATTAAGAAAATGCAAACGGTAAGAAGGAGGTTGAAAATGTAACACTTTCAGCTTGCATTATGTTTAACATCACATTTGTTCATGACATTTCCTCTCTAAAACAATGACAACTCTCAAACGATGCAAATTTGCCGTTGTGGTAAAATCAATGCCTTCTGACCGATTGGCCGATGTCCAAAATTAAATTTGACAGTCGATGTCGTGCATCCCTACCTGTTTGTCTTGCGTTTCCAACTCTACAACCTCAAAATATGATACAAAGGGTTCAGATTCACATTTCGCACCCTGTTTAAAGTACTCTGGGGCCATCATTTATACATTATTCCACTTACTATTGTCTTTTTTTGTTCATTTATTTTCTTTTAAACTGCTTAGCAAAGCATTAAAAATGCAAAATGTAAATAAAACGGTAAAAAAAGAAAGAACAGTTTATCGCAACTTGCAGCTAAAAACACACCCAGTTAACATATTATTGATAATATTATTAAGCATCAACAATGGCTTCTACCAAGACGCTTAAAATGCTTGATGCTGTGTTTCAACATTAATTATTTGCTCTCGACCTGACCACCAGAGAGAAGACAACACTAATTAAATTTAACACCAATTAAAGCGTCAAACATTTGAGGCGAATGGCAAAAAACACCTGATGCAAAAAGCGTCAGCGACGCAGAGGAGAAACGGCGACGAGTAACACGGCCGTCCATTAGGACACTAGGTGAACTTTGGGAAATTGAATAAAAGGAGGAGAGATGAAAAGAAATTATTTTGTCAGAAAGCGCTTTCATCTCTCTCTGTCGCAGAAAGGTTCGGCTGCCCTATCTTCGGCTTCACGGGGTGCCACTTTTTCTCTGTTCCATCCTTCTTTTCCCGCCACCCCATCCTCCTCCTCTCGTCTTTTCTTATCCTCGCTCATCCTCAAAGCAGACTGACAGCCATTTATTTCACATCAAGCCCACTTTATGACTGCAGCCGCTTTGCATTCATGCTGGACGGTCGGCCTAAAAAGCTTTCTGACAAGGCCATGAATACGCTTAGTGGCTGCTCACGTCTAGTCTCTTTCTGCTTGGTTGGACTCAGATGCTGATATTAACTCAGCTTTGATACAATGTCCCACTCACCCCGCTTGTATGACTGCTTGTCTCCCTTTTTGCGATGCGAGTTATGCAGCAAAGGCGGCCTTAAACTAAGGAAGAGGCAAACCAACGCCAAGGCACTTTAATCTGCAGCCTTAAGAAAATGAGATGAGTTAATGCGATATCATTGTTATTCCCAAAAGCTTCGACAGCTGGATTTATGAGACAAAATGAAAAATAAGGCTGCAAGCTGATTGCCAGGGTAGCAGCCAAGGCTATCCTTTGACGTGCCAGCATGCAGAAGAAAGCATCTAATCTATATGCTAACTATTATGTATATGATTTTCCACAAAACACAGGATACCGGGGTTCCTGTTTGCATCACATTAGAGTTTTTTTTTATTTTTTTAAAAAAGGTAAAACATCAAATTAGTGCTGCTGCAAGGAACAACTGAGGAGGAAAAAAAATCATATCAAAGAAGAAGAACAACATGCACAGAGAGTTTCTGTAACTGTGGAATGTGATCAAACCCAAGACAGAAATAATTCAGCGACAAAAACAAACTGGCTGGTGACTGGAATTGCCTTTGTGGATCCATTGAAGAGCCAGTTAGAGAATAATTCACTGGTGCCTGGTCAGTCAGGTCATCTCAGCCAGAGCACCAACAGCTTCAAAAATGGAGGAACGCCACGCGCACTCGCCAACAAACCGGAAGGACACGAGCCTGCAGTGGCAATCGGGAGAAAAGGGAGCCCAACGCCCACAATCAGCCAGACACATCCCTGTGGGTCAGCAGCCAGGAAGTCATCACAAAGAAGCACAAACCAACAGCACCACTCAGACAACATCACACCAAATGAGACAGCCCTGCCACGCAGATTTTCATTGCATTAAAATCCCCTTTTCAACACATTGCCTGCCGTTTTGGGGAAGAGGATATTGACCCCAAACTAGGATTATTTCAACTTAATCCTAGTTCATACCATTAGGAACTATTTGTTCATCTGATACAATGTTGGTACCTCAAATGTATCTTTTAACAGTTGCCAAGTAGTCAAACAGCTGGCTGGAAAGGAGATTGCTGTCATAGCAAGTTAGGGTTCATGGCTTGCCAATGTTATCTGAGGTTCGTGAGATACAGTTAGGGCCAGAAATATTTGGACAGTGACACAGGTTTTGTTATTTTAGCTGTTGACAAAAATATGTTCAGAAATACAATTTATATATAATATGGGCTGAAAGTGCACACTCCCAGCTGCAATATGAGAGTTTCCACATCCAAATCGGAGAAAGGGTTTAGGAATCATAGCTCTGTAATGCAGAGCCTCCTCTTTTTCAAGGGACCAAAAGTAATTGGACAATGGACTCTAAAGGCTGCAAGTAACTCAGAAGGCCTTTCCCTCGTTAACCTGTAATCAAGTAAGTAGTTAAAAGGTCTGGGGTTGTTTCCAGGTGTGGTTTTGCATTTGGAAGCTGTTGCTGTGACCAGACAACATGCGGTCAAAGGAGCTCTCAATTGAGGTGAAGCAGAACATCCTGAGGCTAAAAAAGGAAAAAATCCATCAGAGAGATAGCAGACATGCTTGGAGTAGCAAAATCAACAGTCTGGTACATTCTGAGGAAAAAGGAATTGACTGGTGAGCTTGGGAACTCAAAAAGGCCTGGGCGTCCACGGAAGACAACAGTGGTGGATGATCGCCGCATACTTTCTTTGGTGAAGAAGAACCCGTTCACAACATCAACTGAGGTCCAGAACACTCTCAGAGAAGTAGGTGTATCTGTCTCTAAGTCAACAGTAAAGAGAAGACTCCATGAAAGCAAATACAAAGGGTTCACATGTAGATGCAAACCATTCATCAATTCCAAAAATAGACAGGCCAGAGTTAAATTTGCCCAAAAACACCTCAAGAAGCCAGCCCAGTTCTGGAAAAGTATTCTATGGACAGATGAGACAAAGATCAACCTGTACCAGAATGATGGGAAGAAAAAAGTTTGGAGAAGAAAGGGAACGGCACATGATCCAAGGCACACCACATCCTCTGTAAAACATGGTGGAGGCAACGTGATGGCATGGGCATGCATGGCTTTCAATGGCACTGGGTCACTTGTGTTTATTGATGACATAACAGCAGACAAGAGTAGCCGGATGAATTCTGAAGTGTACCGGGATATACTGTCAGCCCAGATTCAGCCAAATGCTGCAAAGTTGATCAGACGGCGCTTCACAGTACAGATGGATAATGACCCCAAGCATACAGCCAAAGCTACCCAGGAGTTCATGAGAGCAAAAAGGTGGAATATTCTGCAATGGCCAAGTCAATCACCAGATCTTAACCCAATTGAGCATGCATTTCACTTGCTCAAATCCAGACTTCAGACGGAAAGACCCACTAACAAGCAAGACCTGAAGGCTGCGGCTGTAAAGGCCTGGCAAAGCATTAAGGAGGAGGAAACCCAGCGTTTGGTGATGTCCATGGGTTCCAGACTTAAGGCAGTGATTGCCTCCAAAGGATTCGCAACAAAATATTGAGAAAAAACTTTTTTGTTTGGGTTATGTTTATATGTCCAATTACTTTTGAGCTCCTAAAATGTGGAGTGTTTGTAAACAAATGTGTACAATTCCTACATTTTCTATCACATATTTTTGTTCAACCCTTTAAATTAAACGTTACAATCTGCACTTGAATTCTGTTGTAGAGGTTTCATTTCAAATCCAATGCGGTGGCATGCAGAGCCCAACTCACAAATATTGTGTTACTGTCCAAATATTTCTGGCCCTAACTGTATGTCAAACAAATCAAACCGGCCTTTTCTCTATGCAACAATAGCCTCACTACCAACTGCTATGGTGGACATGTTTGTGGGGAGAAAATTTGTGAACATATTTGAGTCTGGCAGCAGAAAATGAATTTTATTGTCATAGAGAATCTTTTTTTAAGGTAAACTAGTCGTCTGAACTTAAAGTGGACGACGTTACGGTCAGATACAGATGAAGACGTCACAAGTAGCAACATAAACAATTTAAGGTTTGACCTTTTCTTCCAGTGCAGATCAGATAGATTAAACATCTTAAGGTAGTAGTTAGTAATCAGCAGACTTCCCCTGGCGATGCTGTCCTGAGAGGGGCATTAGTCTGACACCGGCCTGTTTTCCCATCCAGCATATCCCTGATGCAGCGATTACCACAGCCTTTCTGGATCGGGGTGGAGGTTATTTATGACACATGGGAATGCACAAGGGCTAAGGCGCTTGAACTGAAGAGAAGCATGTTTGCGAAATTGTGCAGAGTCAGCAAAAATAGGTGCTTGCACAGCAAGAGGGGAAATCGCTGCCTCCTGCTTGCTCATTCATGACTTTAACACTTCATCAGTTCATCTGGACTCCAACTTGGGAATGGTGTAGATTCTCCTGGAAAATCCTACAACATTTTGCTCCTTTCTCCCCCTAAATTCACTTTTATTAAGCCTGAAGTGCTTGGCATGTTTAGCCCTCGCTACCTGGTCGTTGTCGTTGGTGTGTCGCAGGAGATGCTTGAAGAAGTCCAGACGGGAACACTTCCTGACCAGGATCAGGTCCGTGGTGCCGTCGGCGAGGTGGGCGGAGGGCGACAGGCCCTTCGGACTCCGAGGACATGCGCAGCTCATGCTGGCAGAGTTGATGGCAATGAATTTGCCATGGATGACACTCCAGCCTCTGTCGCTGTCTGAAGACACAGCAGCACAACCCATGTCGTTACAACAGGTTCATAGAAAATGACATTCATCAATTTGAAAAACAGATCTCTTTGACATTTCGTGGCTGTGGATAACATCCTCTAATTCAACCTTTGGAGGCTGTTGGCATTCATAAGCTGAAATCCAACATGTGTATCTTTCTTGTTTTTCTTATGTGGCATTTAGTTGGAAATAAGCTAAATGAGACGTTCTTATTCAGGTGTGAAATCTGGTAATTGCATAGTTTCCCGTTGCGACACGCTTTTTCGAGCTGTTCAATCCCTATGAACCTTGAGTCTTGTGGAAATTGCCTTTTGACGTTTTTTGTGTCTTTTTGGTGAGCGTTTGCTTTTCTTTTAATGATCACTTCATGATAAAGAAGAATCGTTTATTTGCCAGGATGTTTCAACAAATTCCCTCGTTTTGCTTTCATCTTTGCGTATCCTAAACTGGGTCACCGGGGAAACCCAGACATCTCGCGTCTCTGACACTTGTCAGGTTCTGAAGGCGTTCCCGGGCCAGAATGTGTGTATATATATACATATACATATATATATATTCTGGGAGCCTCCTCTGAGTTGGATGATCCCACAAAATCTCAAATGTCTCATGGGCAATTCTAGCTACCCAACCCATTTCAATTCACTTCTTCTGAAAGGAAAGATGCTCTCTACGTCAAGATGAAACTCCTCATCTTATCTCTGTGGCTCCACTTTATGTAGAAGATTTGTTCCAGCCAGGATTTTGTTATTCTAGTAATAAAACACCACGGTGGTTCAGTGGGTAGCAATCCAGAAGAAATGATGGGTTCTATTTCAACTTAATCCTAGCACATATCGATTTGCCTCTGGGCAATAACCTCAACTTGCCTATCAATCTACATATCGGTGTATGAATTTGTGTGTATTTCTGTGTGATCGAGTGAATGTCGCTGCAGTGTAAACGCTTTGAATTCATTTCACACTTTTCTAGTCGCACTCACCACTCGACTTTTTGCTGAGAAGGCAGCTCTTGCTTTGGTTGTACAATGAGTGGGCCCTTAAAAACATCACCAGAGCGCTAGCATCCTGTATCGGTAGCGGAATATAGTTTTGACCATGAGGTTCTGGGTTCCCCTCCCGTCTGTTCTTATCAGTTTTTTCTTCTAATTTCTAGTTTTTTTCTGTTTTAAATGTCTACTGGTAGGCTTCTAGTTCTTGAGTTTTGTCTTGTTACAGATGTCATCAATGGACCTGATGGATATTGATTTGTATTTGTTAATTTATTCCAATTTGGACTGAAAACTTTGGACACGTTCACTTTTTATCCCTGTACGCTGCATAAACTAGTTTTCACCATCTTTTCAGAAAAGGCAACCCAACTGAAACTCCTCCATTACTTACATATTCAAAGTTAAATCAACCAAAGCTGACCACAACTTCAACTTCAATCCCCGTTTTTTGCACACTACACCTTAAGTGAATGTCTGATTCGACCAACGCTGCACCAAATTCTCCGTACAGCTAAAATCCTTTAGCTGCACAGGTTGGATAAGCTGGATTTCTTCTGGCTTTTAGGGTAACGGTTTGAATTATTCTAGCATTACGAGTTGTGGGCTTCAGCTTCAACATGCAAACGCAGCAGCAGTGAAGCTGATGGAGGTCCATTAAGATCCAGATGTCGTCGCAACAATGCACAGAGCAACTTCAACCTCATGATGGAGGAAAACGCAAATGTAAATGCACACCCTTCTGTTTGTAATTAAGTGTAGCCGAGTAGGATTTCACAATATCTAAAGACTAGCGCGAGCTCGATAAGCAGCACACTGATTATGCTAACCTTCTCTCAGATTCTCATGAATAAATGCACATGTGGCCACAAAAATCCTAAATGACAGACGTGATGGTTGCGCTTCACGAGTCATGACTCTGTTCCTCGGAGATTAGCCGCTGTTTACTTGAGTAAAGGTGAATCAGAGCCGAGGCGCCATGGCCCCGCGGGGGGGAATGGCGCTGTCTGTCACTGGCGTGATAGTTGGCGGGGGAAGCCGCTAAAAACTGATCACAGGTGTCCAAATTAGCATTCGACTGTTTTATGAGCACCTCAGAGGGGAAATTATGTGATCTCAGACAGCAAAACGATTCATTACCTTTCCCCCTCGTTTTGCAAAACAAACTTACAGAGGTGATAACGCGAGCCGATGATAACAAGCCCGCAGAGGCGAAATAAAAAAAAAAACCCAACAATATTCTAATTGGGAAATGGTGATTAAAGCCACACTTTAAAAACAAATCCAAACGGAACAACTGTGGACTGTAGGCTCTGCATTAGGAGAACGCCTCCAAATGAGTATTTACTTTCGATGTGGAGGCCAGCTCATTTGCAGAGGGGGAGTGTGTCGTGCCTCATTGATTTAGCAGTTGTCTGAGATTCCCTCAGCAGAGAGCTAAATAAATAAATAAACACAACGCCACAAAAACAAAGGGTGGCTCCGGCACGAGGCAAACCCCCCTGACAGACCTGGGAAAGAAACATTTCTTTTTTTCTTCTTCTTCTCCTGATTAGTGGGAGTCTGTCACACAGCAAACGCAAACACACACAAACAGGTTATGCTTGCTGTCATATTTATCCAGGCATATAAACACACACCAGCACGCCGTGGGGAGCTGCAGCCTCAGATAAACACAAATCTAAAATTTAACATAAAGACACTAATTAGAAAGGGAAGCTACACACACACACACACACACACACACACACACACGCAGAGAGAGATAATCGACAGCACAAAGTCTGCACACGATGCTGCGGTGCACACGCCGCCAGAGGTTTGTGCTGATGTGTCAGTGGCTTGAGACAATTGCAGATAATAATAAAGTTTGTTTGCACATAGACAGATGGGGAAATGAAGGGAGAAGAAATGGCGATATCCAAACCTAACCTGAACATGAGCTGTCAGGGAACACACAATGAGACCAAATGAGATGGGAAGCTAGTGAGCAGGAACATCATTAATAGGGGAGTAACAAGACAATGCAGGATAATAAGCTTCTTAGGACGAAACAAGAGGAGACTTTAGCAATGTATTTCAGAAGACAATACATTTTTCTGGTTTTGTTTCATATTCTAATCCAGGTTTGACGGGGCTTATGGGTTGCAATGGACCCAGGCAGTCATGGCAGCTCACAGTGAGCCACGTTCTCCTGCAGGTTTCTTCCTGTGACGCTGGAGTTTTCCTTTCCGATGTCATAACATGGCTGATTGCTACAAAGTTTTTGGAAAGTGCCTCGAGACAGTATTTGTTGCGAATAAACAGATTGAATTTAACAAAGGCAAATGTTTGTCTAATCTATGGAAATCCCAATGCCAAAAAACACCCTGCACAGGTTTTTATATCTTCCATACATTGATATTCTCTGTTGTGTTCATAAATAAAATGAATGTACATTTAAACAAAACCTCTGTTTTACTCTGCTTCCAAATAATTAGCATTATCCTCTTGTCTGCTGCCCTGTCACCGTTTTTTCTACTTTAATTCTGAAACTGATTTAAAACTGGTAAGTTTTTTCCACATTTTCCCAAAGGGCTTTTACACCTCGACAAACTTCCCACACGTTCATGTGCTTTCTCTTCTCTACTTTTCATCCTAAAAACAGACAACAGTAGGTCCACTGAACCTAAACTCAAAAAATTCACTTTATTTTCACTTTATTGTGCCGAGGTTGCAGGACACAGAGGAGAGGGGACGTTTTGTTCCTCCTTCTCAATTCCTAACACGCCATGTCCTCATATTCGCATCGACTGGGCTTAAACTTCATAAGACGAAGTGACATCCTGGCAGCAGATAGATGGCTTCTTGCAAGACAGATTTCACTCTGACGAGAAATATCGCAGCACTTTAATATCAACATCTTGTGCCACGAGATCTTGTTACGTCCCTAATCATTAGGCAGAAGAGCTCTCCAGCAGGGAACAATGAGGAGTTATTCACTGTCACTATAATCAGAATATATTCTCTCATCAATACCTAATCAGGAATCTCATTAGAAATTGTGTCGCTCTGTTGGGGGTTGGGGGGAAAGAAATGACAATAAAGTGAAATTTTAGCAGATCATGACTCTTATTTACACGCTGTCAAGCTCAGGTACTTTATCTCCTTCAAAAAACACAAAGCGAAAAAATGCAAATCTCCAAGCTGAATGAAATCAGCTTTATGCAGAAAGACAGCCAGTGTGGAATTGTCTCATCTTTTTTGTGTTTTTTTCCCCTCTGTATTCTCAAACTACAACTCATTTTAATGGCAGCGGTGTCAAAACAGAGAAATGAGCTCGATAACGAGGCAGAGGAATGAGGAAAAGGCCTCTCCCTCTGATTTAGTCAGCACATTTCAAATGATGAAGCAAAGCTCGTACCTTCACCTGGCTTTTCTTTCTCCTCCGACGCCTCATCGTGCTCGTCTCTTGATGAGGGCTTGTGCCGACAGATGCGGCACCTGAAACACCAGCGCAACCTTGTTTTACAATCATTAAATCATCGGCTGTTACTCGCATTCGAGGCCATAACGGGCTCTTATGATTCATTAAACCCAAATGTATTCAGAGAGTTGTAAACTTTTTTTTTTTCTTTTTAGCTATGTACACTGTATCTGTTTTGTCTGCAGCTAAAAAGGTCTTCCGGAGCATATTTATATGACTTTTCATGGTGAAATAACTTGTCATGTTAGAATAATGGATTTCACCTCCCACAGCAAATGTAAATAATGTCTACTGCCAGAATATCAAAAACCAAAGCACTTAAGTCAAAAGCTTTTCACACAAGAGTAAACTGGCTTTCAGTTCTCAATAATTCAGCTTCCTGACAACATAAAGTATCCCATTAGAGCACATTGCTGCGCCTGAATATTGTCAGATAAGTTAAGACATTGTAAAATAGCCCTGAAAAGCCGCAGATGTTATTTACCCAGATCGACACTGCAGCTTGTCTCTTGGATGCCCCACGTTGTCGTCTGCTGGCAGGAAAGAAACTGTCCCGCCGTAGTGGTTGTGGGACAAAAAAGTTTTAAACCCTTTAAAAAAAAAGGGGAAGGGGGGAATACGTTATATGGTGTTATTAATCCAACAAAAAAGTATTCTCAGCTAAGGCACTAAGGAAAATATCGAAAAGGACTCAAACATCAGTCTAGTTCAGTTGCAGTTTCAGCGTTTAGTGTTTCATGACATTAAACGGCTCATTTATACTGTCATGAATTATGCGCAGTTCTACAAACAAAAATATCTTTTTTTTTTAAAATAGAAAAAGCACAGAAATTTGTGATGAATATCCACTACTGAGCTGTGTGTCATGGTTCTCTACATAAGGCAAACAGATAACCAAACCCAAGCAGGATTCTGAAACATAAAAACATCACAGAGGAGAGAGAGAAAACAGAAAATGAAAGGAAAGGAAGTGCTCTTTATTGGTGTATTAAGCAACAGGTGAAGGTGTGATGCAGCAGAATGAACACAAAGTACAAATAAAAGTATAAATACTATTGTATTGTGAAGGCATTTGACTTAGAAAGAATGTCTAATAGGCAGTGTCATCTTTCTGGTGCTCAAATGTCCTGCAGCAGCAACGCCATTGTAATGATGCTCTTCCTAACTTAGGTTGATGAATTTCATCTGTGTGTGATATAAATCCAGGACCATGGAGAGATTGCACAAGTTTTGTTAAAAAAAAAAAAAAAAACTTTTACTAAAACCAAAAGTTCTCACGCTAAAGAAAACTGAACTTTACATTTGCAGAAAACATTTGTGTGGGCTACCTGCCCAGGGAGGCATTGGAGTGAGCTGTTGGGGCAACTGGAGGAGAAGCTGCTGTCTACGGACGTCCAGGTGAGCTAACTATACCGTTGTTTTCTCAAACCTGCCTAACCAGTCCCTCCACCCAACATTGGGATTAGCTTGTATCAGTATTCTGCTCAGATGAGACCAAAATTGCCATTTTGCAGGCATCATGTCATAAAATGTGAGCAAATTAAAAAGATGTGAATACATCTGCGACACACTGTGAGCTGATGTTAAACAAAGCCAAACAATTAAAAAAGCGTTAAACAAAGATTTAAATAATGGCCGACATACCTGACAGGTCGTATCTTGCAGGACCAAGCCACCGATTCCTCTCACTGTCCGCCAAAACATCGCCATAGAATCCATACCCAAGCAAAGAGACAGAATATTTGAGGAAGACGCCGTTATGGTGAACCGAACATACATCCATTGGCTGTGAATCGCCTGTGAAAACAGAGCCAAGTCTTGGACGCAGTCGGCAAAGAAAGGTAATATAGCGATTGCACAGAAATGTTCTGTTTGCGTCCACACAACACTGATAACAGCAGACATGGGAATATCTGAGCATGGGTTTAAAGGACACATGTTGGCAGGGTTTCGGTAACTCAAACTCACCAACAACAATGTGCAAGGCAGATGTAACTGGATCGTTTGTTCCCTGCGTAGCAAAGCAGATGCAGTCAGTTGACCCTGTTGGACACACAAGGGGGATGATCTATGAGAAAAGCCTTGGCAGTGACAGCAGCGTTGCCCAAGTGTTCAATTTTAAACATCGTGAGTTGAGATGAATCCATGCAATATGACGACGTTCTCCTGTGATCTTCATTGTTGTGATTATTCCACAAAGATCATCAAAGATTATTCTTAGTCAGGTAAAACCATATCCACTACACAATTCAGTTTCAGCTGTTTGTTTTTTAGCTATTAAGTTTGGTTTGACTATTTCTTTATGAATATCTACAAAAAAATGAAAAGAATAAAGAAGCAGGTCATTTTTTTCTGTTTTATGAAAGCTCTTAATACGTCATTATGTTGTTGGTACAAGAGAGGAATGACACAGATTAAACAACCAGTGTTTTCCATAGAAATCTCTTTATAGTGGTTTTAGTCATGCTTTATTTCATCTTAAAAACCCAATGAAAAGCCTTTTCCAATTTAGCATACTGTCATTTCCGTGCTTGTTTCTGCCTCCATATGCAATCTACTTTTTGTGGAGGAAGAAATACGGCTTTAAGATTTTGTGTTTGGTCCATCTGTCGAGCTAAAGCTATCTGCTATGTCTTATTCATTTATGAAATAGCACCTAATGTAGCATTGGCACAAGGGGAATAAAACATTCATGCACCTGTGATTTTAGCCTAATAAATAAAAACAGTCTGTTTTCAGATAGCATCGCTTTACAGTTCTAGACATCATCTCTAAGAATGTAAACCTGTGCCAAACACTTTGTGAACTCTAGATACATTTTCCTCTGCTTTTGAAAACCATCTATGCCTGATCCCTGGGAAGTTTATTGGTTTGATGTAATTCCTATGTCAGTAGTTTTGTATGCTTTGAGGTTTCTGATTTTCTCATCCCCGTTGCCTTTAATCCACCAAACAAAATTTCATCATGTCAGTCACATATGTGTATCTCTATCTCCAAAATGAAATCTGTCACAAAGAAAAAAGCTCTGGGGATCAACAGAATGAACGCATTTTTCACGTCCACGACCAAGAAAGGCAAATGTAGCTGAATGATTCTATTAGGCAAGAGCAAAGAAACGTGGCAGTCATAAAGTTAACTAATCTGATAGTTTCAGGCCCTGGGCTATCATCAGCGCTCTTCAGCCAACAAATGAAGGATAAGAGGCATTCCCCGCCTTGTGAGAAATGTTGAGTTTGATATTAAATCTTTCGACTTGAGAGGTAATAAGGCTCCATCGCTCTTTTCTGCGCCCTCGTGGAGTAATTTCAGACCTATCTGGGCAACTTTGATCATCTTCAAGTGGTAATGTGGAGCCGCCGATAAAAGACGAGGAGGGTGAGAAAGCGAGTGAGACGCCGAGCTGGTAATGTTTAGAGTGGGCTCACAGAGGTGTGACGGGGCGATCGGGCCTGTCACTCGCAGACGGACAAACAGATGAGGATGAAGATCGGCTCTCTCTCGCCTTCTTACGCATTCTATGAATATCGCTTGTCTGGCCTTTGCTTCCTCTTCTCTGAGCATCATAATCACATCTGAACACTTGAAATTGCTCCTGACAGCCCTGCTGCGTGTGCCTTTTTCTTTTCTTTTTTGTTTCTTCTTGTATAAAGATGGCGACGTTGTGCTGGAATAAGACTCTTCTACACCCAGTTTGTACTAGGCAGTTTAATTTTGGAAGGGAATAACTGGAACAATGTTCAGCCCTCTGACGCTTTATGTTTTATTCCCCTTCATTTTCTCCAGTGCAAACATTTGAGTGCGGAAGAAGAAAATTGTCACGAGGCACGTGCTGGTCTGAGCAGTTTCAGTGTTTTTCTGTGGTTCTCCCATAAGCGCCTCGTGGATCCTGTCAATTTCTTTCTCTTTGACAGCGATGGACTTTAAATTTCTCAGTTGTGGGATATTTTTTGCTTTTTGAATCCTCTGAGCATAAATATATTTATGGCTGGACTTGTGACTGAAACCCTTTGAAACAAACAGCAGCCCACTTAATCGCATATTAGATTTCTCTTTAATATACATTGCAGAGTTTTAATGTGCTGGAATTTTATGCAATATTTTCAGTGTTGCAACATTAATTTCCAGTATGATTCACATAAGGCCATATCCAGTGTCAAGAAGCCATTACAGGAGCAGAAAAGCTGTTCATTGGTGAAGTTTAAACAGTGTTTGGTTACGGTATCCTTATTGAACTTTGGGGATGGGATTATATGTGCTTCTGACTTTGTTTTTTGAAAGATTTTGAATCCTGAATTAGTAAAAATGTAATGTAAAGTAAGGTAATTTTGTTTATATAGCACATTTTCAGCAACAAGGCGATTCAAAGTGCTGAAATGAATGAACTAGAAGGAAATACAACAAAACAACAAGATGATATCGTCTTAGTTTGCTCTAGATTTGTAAAGTATAAAGCTAAATGTTGGCTCTCTGTGTTTAATTCTTGCTCTGGGTTGCTAAATAATTCACAATTTATAAACTAATAAGAGTTTCTCTAGGTCTTGTTCCGATATTAAAAGTATAAAGGCAAATGTTGGTCTGAAGTAACTCCACAGTTTCTAAATAGTATAAAATTAAATGTTAGAAAAAGCTGTAGCTTTTTCTGTTTTATTCCCTGATTTTCTTTTTGTACATCATCCTTACTCTGAGCTTTAAAGATCTTCCAAAAATCCATTGTAAAAACATTTTTTCCACAATTTTTCCTCATGAATAAACTAGAACCCCCCGGATTTGACGAAAAGCGATCTTCTGTTTATCTCAATTACGTCGAGATTTCATCTTTCTATATCATGTTTTGGCGAGATACTCAAATGTCATAGAATCGGCATAGCATCTGTCAGACGAAAACAAACACTCGACATATTGATTTCCTCTGTCTTGGGTAAACAAACCACCCCATCCGAAACATCTCCATCCGAATGAATCCTTCGCCGTCTCGCCGGTTTATTTTTTGAAACAAGCCAGTTACCAGCAGCAAGCTGTGCAGAGGATGGCCTCACACTGGTCTTCACACATTGTGTCTTCATCCCAGTGAAATCTACAGTAATTTCAAAATGTCACCCAGCATGTCCCCAATCATGCCACTTAGGGCTGATTGACCCTCTTTTAGGCTCATGGTGGCACCCCCATGTCCTGTTGCCGTGGAGACTGTCTTATTTAACTGAGCATCCTGGGATCATAAGGTCTTGAACGTCTCACAATTAAAAGTAGATGCATTATTTATGCTTCCTTTGGAAAACCTACAATCGCTACTTATTTACATTTTGAAAGCCCCTTCATTCTGCCAACACAAATGATTTTAATTAAAGCGTTTTATTAAAAGCCACTTTTCAAAAGTTAAGTTATATTCATTAAATTGAATAAGGACAAATACAGACAGTAGAAACGGATAGTTTAATTAGTTTTGCAATAAGAAGCAACCTAGGAAGTCCAACTCCTAGTTTGTTTTAAAATATCTCTAGAGATTCAATCATTTGCTCGTCTGAACGTGAACGTATTGTTCTAAAAGAAGAATATGTTTGCACAGCTTTGACAACTAATATGCATTTGCAATTTGACAAATAAATATAGAATGGTGTCGTTCTGAAAGTCGCTGCATCAATGTGTGAAGGTTCTCACACTTGTGCCATTAAATCGCCAGTAACCAAAAAAAAACAGCAAGAAAAAATCTTCCTCTGTTAATAAATGGCTGTAAAATGACTCCAAAAACCCACCTGCAGGAATAATCCCAATACGCAAAGAGCACGGCACCAGCTCAGCATCCGGTTGGTTCTGGTCCACACCGTGGTCCGTCTGGATCCTGGTCACCAGGCCGTGCAGCACCTCGCTAAACATCCCGTCTCCGCCCACACACACTACCCTGGAGAGACCAGAGGAACCAGGAACTCAGAGCTGAGCGCAAGCTTTCCTGACACACCGCTGAGAACGGTTCACGCAGCGTCTTGGCGGGTCGCCGTGTAACGAGTCGAGTTCCATGTTGTTCTCTGTGTTTAGCAGGAAAACGGCTGCGTGGCTTTGCAAACCTTGACAATAACGAAACAGGGCAGCTGTGAAACCCTACAATAAATAAGAATATCACGCTGTGCCACCCGGCATTACGGCTTTTTAGGGCCGACTCAAAGGCAACTGAAATGCATCTATAAATTATATGAGCTGTGGAATAAAAAGCATAATGGAGTCTAACTCTGCTCCTGGTGTTACGAATGTAAGATGAATAGCTGAAAGGACGAGGTGAACAGGCGGGAGGGAAAAGGGCCCTTTTGGTGCACTTCTTACCCCTGGCTTCTCGCTTCCCTCGCATGATTTACAGTTCATAACCTTGATGTATGTCAGTCGGTGAAATGCTGATTTTGACAAGTTGTAGTTAAAGGAAATGCCGGAAGGCAGGGAGAGCTACAAAGTGAGGCAAAATCGATGGAGACATGAACAAACGTTCTGTTTGTTATTACAGATCAGATTTTAAATGTGATGTTAAAGAAAAAAAACCTTTAACACTTTTTAATTTTCCCCTCTAGTTCAATTCAGGAAAATTAGAACCAGAGAACGCGCTCGCATTTGGGTCCAAAATATTTCACACTGGTAAATATAGTTTTGCATTATTAAACAACAAAAATGCCAGAGATAAAAGCGATTGATCAGAGTTTTAAGTTAAAAGTTCCATTAGAAACTTACATGCAAAATCCTATATGTAATGAAATAACATAAAAAATTACATTAAATTAAAAACAAATGTTATGCTATCACTATGCCTGTCGCAACTAATAAATTAATCACACAATAAAATAAAATGAGCTAGATAATTTCCTTTCTGATTAATATTTTAGACTTTGTAATTATTGTATTTATGATTTTTATTTAGGATATTTTAAATATTGTCCAGTTCGTGTTGTTTTCTTTACAGAATCATTTATTGGCCTTGGAGAGGCGAACTCGCACTATTATGCCATTATCAGTGCATCTCATGAAAATGATCTCAAAACTAAAATATTGGAGTTTATTGCGATAATTACTGGGTGTGTCTATCATCCAGACCAGGCTTTGGCCTTTACAAATACTGCTAAAAGTGCTGACTTGATATTTGTAATCATCAGCACAACAGATGCTTTACAGCTAGCTGTCCAAGCGTGCTTATGGAAAGTTTAGTGGAAGAAAAAATGTATTAGCAAGAGGTGCATAAGTAACACAGTCTTGAGAGGTATATGAACCAAAGCTCACTCAAGAGTTTCACAGTAAGTGATTACTTGCTGCCATGTCATTTTCTGCTGACGTTTATTGTGTCTTATCAAGTCAAGTATAAAGTTAAGACAGTCGCCTACTAGGAAACGTTAAAGCCACTCCATGCTGCCTGCTGCTGATAAAGTTTTATGGATTTTATGGATAGCTAGCCTCCACACACCCTTGTAGCATCGTGTTTGATTGACTAGCAATCTAAGAAGATGAAAGACAACATTTTGGGAATTATTTATGTAAGCTGGCAGCAAAGCTTCACAGAACTGCTGTGGGGTGTAAATATTTTTCAATTTGGGTCAATTGGTTAGTTTTTCAAAAGTAGCTTGAAATTTAACATTGCCTATGTAGCTATTAAACCCTTTGAGAAAATCTGTGCTTTCCCGATACTGAATCAGACTTTTCTTCTTCTACAATTATATTAAGACGGAACATTTTTAGTGTTAAAAAAAAGAAGAAGAAAGAAATCAAAATAACAATACAACAATTACAGGGTATATATATAAAAAATTACAATTCATCTCAATGGAGATTACCCAACAAATGAGCCTCAGTGACTTTATTAAAATATGAGCAGACGAGAGTGAACAGAAACGCCACGGGCAAGAATCTGCGTTTCAAAAGCCTGAAACCGGCAGCCGCTACCCCGCTGAAGTACTCACCCGTCATAATCGTCTAGATTGGCCTCTGTTTTCAAGTGGTCCCTGGCATGATTAGCGCGCTCTGTAACTGTGGAAACGAATTAAATAGTAGGCGTTAGCGCAAGTGCAATAAAAGAAATGTACAGACGAAATAAGTGGCGGAGCAGGCGTTTACAAAAAAACAAAAGAGAAATACAAAACAAAAACGCTGCACTTTGGATGCATTCGGTAAAACCCACTGAGCAGATTAATGTTCAGGAAAAAAAAAATAATAATCCAGGCGCAGAAGCACAAACAGCCTAATTCAGCTATTGTGGGGTGTATTAACAAAATGAACCCCGAGGCAGAGAGAAAAAAACCAACAAAAAATTCCCATCATTTCAAGACTAAATCTGTTTACTAGCCATATAATCCCAGCACACAAAAAAGATCATGTGACTCATAGCCGCTATAGGAAGCCCAGACTGAATGGTGTTTTCCCCCTGATGGGCCATCAATACTCAAGAATATACACTGTAGCAAACACTTATTGAATAATAGATGACTTTGGATGCCCAAGCTTATCGGGTATCACAGCTTCCATTAGGGTGGTGGCAGGATTAATGCAGCCATAAGGCAAAAATCATATCCTCGCGAGGCCACCTGGCCCCCACCCTGCAAGAGGCTACGCTGGCAGCGGAGATGTATACGGTGGCCTTTGAGTCTCATTTTTAATTTAAATGTTGTGGCGCTCCACCGTTGGGTACCCACCAATCACGTCTGTAAAGATGCCGGCCCGCCGGAACACCGGAGCCACCTTCTGCTCGTAAATGCGCTCCCCGCGCCGCTTCCCTCCGTACGGATTGATGTACACCAGCAGGTTCTTGGGTCGGTTGGCTGCAAAGTGAAGGATAGCGGTTGGAAATATCAGACTTTTTTTTTTTTTTTGACAACCGCTTGATTGGTCTTTCATTAACTTTTTTTTTTAAAGATGATCACCAGAATGGGCTGTTTGAGAGACAAATGAGGTGTCGGCTAACTGTGGAAGGAGTGTGGCGCAAATTACAGGCACTGCATCATCTGGTGATGAAGTTCCAAAGTGGCGCGCTGGGGGGATGTTAAATGGCATGTTTGGGGCCGCTTTGGAAAAATAAGGTGCCGGTCTCAAACTAAAAGTGATCTGAATGGGATCAAGTGTTAAATGAGCACAAAGGGAAAAAGAGAAAACAGCACGGCTTGGTATCATTTGGCAATAAGACAAAAATTCCATTAGGTTACATAAATGGCTTGTCAGCAGTGATGTAAAGGTGCGCTGCGGAGGAGACGGACTCTGTTAAAGACGTACAGGCTTCATCTTCGCAATGAATGTGGTTAATTTCATTGAATTGGTTCGTCTATGGGTACAGGGCATTTCAGATGAATTATACCCACCTTCCCGTCTTAATTCCACATGTTTGAGAGACACCGAATGCTACGGAGCCGGATCATTTTTCAAATGCATTGGCCCTGGAGTGTGTCACATAATTTTATACTCAATTAGTGTTATAGCTCGCTATGTTACTAATAGTATTATAACATATAATGTGATACGTCATAAACACATTACATACTAGCATTTAATAGATTTAATGAAATTTCACACATTGCTTGACATATTCTTATGCTACAAGTTAATATGCTTTGTCTACAGAAATATACTTAGAGTGATTTATAATAAAATGACTTAAATGAGCTTCCTAGGTGACGGATTTGGCCACTTTTTGGTTTCCTGTTAATCATTTAGTTAGATCTACCTGGAATAGTTTAGGTTTCAATATTTCTTAGAAAGCTTGGAAAGCGAAAGCTAATGAATTACTCTTGCATCCAAAGTTCTGGCAAACTATCATACAAACTGATTAATTTTTGGATGGTTTTTTTAGGCGGTTCACTGTGTCGATCAGTGTTTAATTGGTAGGTGAATGTTACCTTGCCAGATTTCTGTCACAAGATGTTTTGGGGGGAAAAAAACCCAGACGGCGTCCTGCTCTGTTTCTGTCAGGTTAATCAACAGCTGGCCGAGTGTGAAACGGGCTTTGCACTATAACCTGTTGACAGGCTTTTCTGCTTGAGTTTATTTGCCCCTATCTGTGCTGACAGCAGCTTAACAGTCAGTTTGGATCATTCATATCTCATTTATGACACACAGACGCATACTGAGCGTCCAGTCGGTTCAGAGTGCATCGCCCGTATCTGCAGCATTAAGTGGCACCTACTGAGTATTGACAGCTGCTCATTTATAACTTGGATCCACTGCTCACAGATCTGCTGGTCGGCGCAGTGGAAGGTGACGTCGGCGCAATGCCACAGGTGTTGCCGGGTCCTCCTCACATAAGAGACTGCAAAGACAACAAGAACAGTTTCTACAGAGAGCAAAAAGATGTAAAACATGTTCATGAAATCCCCCTCCGATATCCTAAAAGTGCTTTCTGATGTAGGAATCAGTAGCTGCGCTGCTGTTCAGCGTAAAGTTGAGCAAATTGAAATTACAAAAATAAATTTGCGAGAAAGTGTCTGCGTTAGGATGAGGTGGCTCCTCAGCTGTATTGAGATGAGCGTGTTTTGGAAAACTGCAATGTAAACTCTGTATTCACATAGTTGCCTCACACGAGTCACGTGATGAACAATCAGATGTTACTACTGGTGGAAAGAAGTAGTTTTTTTTTCTTTTTTTTTCCTCAGACAATGTGCAGCTGGCTTCAGCAGAGCCATTCATAAAAAGTTGTGTGTTCAATCCACAGCTCTTTAAAATCGGCAACTACAATTTCGGCAAAATGCTGCAAACATAATTGCTCTCATGTATAAAAAGCGTGTCGCTGAATAAGACACAGATGTCTCTAATGACTGATAGATGAATTGTGAATATATCTGATGACTCATTTTAATGAACAAATTCATTCTCCTTTATTGGAAACAATAGCAATTGTGCTTTTTCGACAAAGATTTTTGCACATTTGTAATGGAAGTGCCCTTCATGACTCACAACCTGGAGTTTACTAAGTGTTACTTTTTTCTCGCGTTTTTATATTTTCCTCACTGATCATTACTCCAAGGCTTTGCTGCAGTGCAGCCTTGCCCTGTAAATGAACCTGAGCTGTATCTAAATCAACTCAGTCTACCACAGATTTTAGTGAATGAGTGAGATAAGAAGATGTGGGGAGGAAATCAGGAGGAGGTCAGTAAAGTGAGGCATGGCTGTACTGAGGAAGGAGAGACAGGGGGAGAGAAAAAGCTTTACTGAAATATTTACATTAAGGAGCAGGAATTCCCTCACTAAGCACTTTTGGCAGCAGATTTACTCACTAAGCATTTCGATGTCAAATCATAGCACTGAATATTTCTCTCATCAGATAAGAGTCGGCCTTTCAAGGAGGAGCCACAGTCCAAATCATTTCTCGTGGCTCATATGAGCAGCAGGGATGTCAGAGAGAGCCTGAAAAAGCATTTTGTGAATTTGTTACATAACCAGAATTTGAGGTATGGGACATGTCTTTGAAGATAAGCTTCAGCATAATGTGGCATCATAGTTTGGTGAAAATTAGTCCATGTCAGTGCAAGTAGTGCTACGACTCGAAAGGACCCTTCAAAGCTTTAAAACTATTCCCGAACTTGCAGAGAAGTGTAACTGCTGCACCTGTGAATGCATAGGCATACTGCTGAGAGGGCTGGTTTATCCTCTTCGGATGGCTCCTGGCTTGTGCATCAACTTTGTCTTCTGTCTTGTGAACTGCCACGATTTCACACACTTTAACAGTCTGACGGTGTTCTGCAACGAGATTGGATTGACAGTTTAGTTAGATGGTGACGGCAGCTTGATGATAAGAGCCAGAACAGTTACATGTACACAAATTCCCGAGTTTGTGGTGGCAAAGAAAAGAAATTCTGTTCTACGGATGATGAATGGAGTAACTGTCTACACAGTGGCATGAACTGATATGACAAAAGAGTGAAAGGTCATGATCACAACTCTTAGGAATGGGAACATTTCTGTTTTTTGAAATATACAAAGACTCTTAAACACTCAAGATTCTTCGGGGTACAGTGGAGCACTGCCTCGTCGCAGATTTTTGGTGAAATTTAACTTTTCATAGCTAAAGGGTTCGAAGAAAATTCAGCTTTGGAAGCTGGAGTATTGAAGCGGAACGCAACCTAACCTGCTACTGGCTGCCAATCCAAAAGAACCACGTGTTTTCCTCAGCGGTTATTTGTAATACGCCAGATGTGGGAAAGACTTTGATAAGATATTATGTAATATTATATTACCAAGATATCATAATGAGTCATTTTATCACCGTTGAACCTTGTTAGTTTGAAAAAGCCAGCATAGCTTTACAGAATGTTTCAAAACTGGTAACTTATCAACAGTCAGTAAATTATTACTGTCCACATTTCATTTATTTCAGCTTATTTACATATCTATAAATCCCAACAAATTTGTGCCTTAAGGCACAGAGATCTAGTTAATGTACAAAAATATACAGTCAATTTAATTGCACAAGTTTTACTCATACATTACAACTTGTTTGCAGTTATGAAACAATCCAGTTATGTTGAGCTTATTAATATTTGTAAAAAAATTTCTACCTAGCTGACTTTGCAGCAACTGCTTTCATCAGAATGAGCATGTAGCAACTTTGGACAGTCGACTGCAACATCTCTTAAAATATGAAGCAATTCGCATATAGGTATGTGATTTGGAGAATCAGAAATTCTCACCAGAAGTTGAATTCACTCTGAGAGACACTCGGTTCCTTTCACAAACACTGAACTGAATAGAAATAAATCCGCTTAGTCCCAAGACACCTTCAAAGTGTTTACAGGCAGTACTTCTTTTCCCGCAGGAATGGGAGTCGGACGCTTGTTTTAAAACTCTTGGGGGTTGGAGGCTTGGTCAGTGACAGAATTTGCAGGTCAGAGTGGGACCAGGTGCCTCCTGGCAGATGATGGAACGATGGAGATTAAAGGGCTATAATGAAATCTCACAGATTCTTAATCTCCATTTTTTTTCTTTTTCACTTTCAGACAAATTTGAAAAGGCATGTCCTCCAGAGCAGTGGAGGTGCTTTAGTAGGGCAACAAAAGGAAAAAAAAAAAAAAAAACAGAAGAAGGCGGATGGCTCGAACACAGCCAAATCCACCTTTGAACAATTTCTTTTTAAACTGAGACGTCCAGAAAACTCAGTTATAACAGAGCAAATTCCAAAGAGGACTTTAATGCAAGTACATTTTACCCACTTCAGGTTTACTGACCTCTTCAACTGCATCACATACACAGAGCCTTCCAGCCCCTCGTACAAATTTATTCAGCAGATATGATGAAATGAATGGGAGAGAGGCAGAACATATTATTCCTCTCCCGGGAGTCCCTGAGAATGGGATTTCATTTCTTTCTCAAATAAAGGTGATATGCCATGCAGGCATGAATAACTTTATGGCCATCGATATTCACATTTTGACAAATAGGAGGACGACTTATGGGCATGTGTGTGTGTGTGTGTCAGAAAAGAGGAGAGAAAGGAAAAAAAAGAAAATTTCATTCCAACAACATATGAAATATGTTCACGCTCTAAACTATGCAGATGGCCGTTAGCTCTGAACAAATGCCTTAGCGCTTCTTTGTTGCATGGCTTGGGAGTGCCAAATGTTTGCTGTTATTATGCAAAAAATAAAAGATGATACATGACTGCTATATCAGTGTAGCTGGAGGGAAATATTTCCAATTACATACAGTTCGCCGTAGGTGCAAAAGCAGAGGCCACAATGTAATATCAACCATCCAAGCAAACAAGCCACCAAAAACCTCACCTGGTGGATGGCAGTGAAATGTCTAATTCATATTTTACTGAGCTCAGACTCCAAAACGGCTGCACACAAATAAAACATAGTGAAAATAACAGATTTATTGGATGTATCTTTATGCCTAGTAAATTCTACATTTACAATAAACATATCATTACTGGTTTGTGTTGTTAATAGCAATCAGCAATGACAAAACATGGTTAGTGCTTTTGTTTTTTTGACTTGCAGCTAAAATGCTCCCAGCTCTGGTGTAACGGCATTACCAGTTCCAGCTCTGACTTGGGTGCAGATTTTAGTCCAGCATGTGGATGTGAACATTAAGTAGAGTTTTTTTTTTTCATGAGAAAAGAAAAGTACCGACAGAACTCATCAGCAGCATCATGCATTCGTTTTATAGGCATGGACCAAAAATATTCTCCTCATATGATAATTGACGAAAGAAAAGTATCCTTTATAAGCTTTATTTTCAGCAGAAAGGCTTTTATTTTGACTGTTGCTAAAAATAAGATAAGATTGATCTACCCAAAAGTATAGCCTCTCTGTTTTATTATATTTAGGTATTCTGGTGACTTTTATGACCACAGGTATATAAAATCCAGGAACTAGCGCTTCTACAAATATTTGTGAAAACTGGGTCAATCTTAGAAATTCATTGATCGGTTCCTCATAATTAAATGTTTACCAGCCAACTGCTTGCGGTATAACAACAAGGTGGAGGCGATTGTGAATGATAGTAACTCATCCGTGAAGTGGTAGGCACCGTAAAATCCCAGAGCAGAATCAGTGAAAACCAAGACACAAAGCAAGCAGAGGGCATTTTTGGAGCTGGTAGCAGGAAGTCCAGAGGGGTAAGTCAGCTTTTCAGGAGGTTGCAGGGAGAGAGGCGTTACTTTCAAATGTCTAGAGCGTGTTCAAGATGTGGAGAAAGAGCAAATAATTGTGGTTTTCTTGCTTCAACTCTCCAGTGACACATGGTGTTTCTCAGAGGGAGAACTGGCATAGTTTCTATAAGACGTCTACCGCCAATATTTTTGGCTTGCAAATAACAAGGATTCTAGTTGCTAGAATCGTAAATAAAAAACTGTCATGAATTGTTTGTTTTGATGTTAAATTTCTATTAAGATTTGTAAAAAAATATATAGATTTTTTTTATTATGTCTGCGAAGCTCGGGTCTAAATCAGGGTCAAATGTGAGTTTATTCAAACACAGTTGAGCTTTCCTTCTAAAGCTGAAAGGATAATATTGGGAAATCCGGATAAATATTCTCAGTTGATTGAGAAAACCAGATGTCAGCTGCAAATCTGCACTATTCTTAGGACAAAGACTTCTATTGAGATTGAACGTAGAGATCCAAAAACATACTTTTAAGCAGAACAACATTTTTATATAGGAGCTTGTTTACCTTATAACTTCTCTAATGTCCAATTTTCTACAGTGTATTGTAAATGGGTTCATACTAGTTGATGTTTTTTAGAGTGTTGTCAAAAAAGTATCCTTTATATGCTTTATTTTCAAGCTTAAATTTTAATGTTGCTATGTTTCGTTATAGTTCAACACCAAGTAGTGCATAATTAAGAGTAAAATAGATGATACTTGATTTAGTCTTTTACTAATAAAGTCTGAAGAATGCCATTCATGTACTCTGATACCCCAAAATAAAGTGTTGTGCAATTGATCGCCAGCAGAAGTCAAGATATTCTGCCCATGATTCAGTTTTAAATGAAGCCTCAGATTAGCTTTATGAACTGCACCTATTGGCTGATCCTCTTTAAAGTTTACCTATTCAACAAGAAAACAATCAGATTTGCAGTTTTTGCCTCTTTTGCTTCCCAGAAAAGAGGAATGTATCACGTTTCAGGCTGGGTCTTCTGCCATTTCAGCTCCATCCGATATTAGGTCAAACTCTGACAATAATCCGTCTGTAATATCAGCGCTAAAACTTTGGAGTCCTTGAACAACTTTGTGTTGTTTGGAAGTGGATACAAACTTTGGTCTGGATCATTTAGTTTCTCCATCCAGCACTGGGAACTGGAAGCACATGAGATGGATTACATGTGTGCTAGATTAGCTGTCATCACAGGTTTCTGACACAGATCCCGTAATCAGATTTTACAGGAACTGATGTTCTTTAAAAACTATTCAATAAACTCCTTCAAACTTTCATCCAGAGTCCTTAAAACTACATCCACAGCACTGAATATAGTACATCTTGCAGCACTCCAAATAGATATCTCTTGACATAATAATGTTTGCCACAGAAAGCCTAAATTAGTGGGGCTCATTTTTAATATATATGTGTGTCATTATTAGAAGAATAAAGCGTTCAATTTTTGGTGACCAGGCCTTTCTGCTACAAAAGATTGCGAATTCAACTTTCAGACACTGGCCTACAGGCAATAATTATTTCCTCGAATAATGGAGCGCTAAGCTTTGTGTGACTGTAATAAAGCTTAGGAGGTCACCTAGATTTGTGCTCTTTCAGTAGAAATACTATCTGTCCTCTAATTCAGGTTCTTGGCTCAGGAGGAGGGCTATTGTTCAGAAACAGAAACTTAGGACTAAGTTGTTGCTCTTAGCGTAGAGCAGCATGGGAATCCATCACTGCATAATGCACCTATTAAGGTTGACCCACATTCTCTGAAGCTGCAATAGTAGCATGACAATGCATGCCGAAACCCTCTTATTTCTCCTGTGACATTTCAAATAGTCCACAAGAAAGTGCCAGTGGGTGTTGAAACTATTCATTTAGGAACTATTTCAGTTGTCTGTCAAAGTCTGTACCTCCTACATTTTAACTTATCTCTTCTCCTTGTAAATGTAAAATGTCGTTTATTTTGGAAAAGTCGTTTTGCTTAGTGAAGAATTAACAAATGTGAACAAGCCGTGACGTATTGTACCAGTTTTGTCAGTCAATATGCCAGAAATGTTCTGCATTTGCTTTGACGTTCCTCAAGCTGAATTCATCA